TAAACTTGGTCTCCTATCCATCCACAGCTCTGCGCTCATTAGTGAATGGGCCTTCTGATGCGGTCAGTGCCCTCATGACCCGGTCACTCTCTAGCCCCACCTCCGAACATTGCTGCACTGGGCATCGAGCCCTCACTGCCCTAGTCCCTGGGAGAAACTTCACATTTAAACCCCAGTGGCTCCAAGCAGTGTCCCAGCCCGCGGGTACAGTCAACGTGAACGCTAGAGGGGGAGTGGGGATTATAAAGGGACAAGAGACACGAAGAACGGAGACAAGACAGTGCTCTGATCAAGTCTCGTTTATTAGCGGGAAGTGCCGTGCTTATATACGGCACGGAGAAACGCGGAAGTTCTAAGGCGGGAATAACCAAATAACCCCACAAAGGCGGGAGTAACTAGGTAAAGGTGGGCAGTCCTAGTTCTTGAGGTGGGAGTAGCTAGGCAACGGTAGGCAGTCCTGACTTAAAGGGAAAGGCGCGTAAGACGGCTACTAATATACAATGGAGGTCAGTCACGGTCTCCTACAAAGCAGTCTGTTAAAGGTGAAGCTCTGATAACTATCGTTATCCTGCTTAGTATCCTTCACAAACCCCTACTGCTTACAGGATAAAATACAGATTTCTTGGCCTGGTGGAAAATGTTACATTGTATTTTCCAGGCCTGCTATCTTGGCCTAGGCTGTGTCCTCTGCTAGAAGGTCCTGCTGCCCTTCTCTGAGGTGGTGTCTTACACAGTCTAAGACCCACCTTGGTCTGCTCCCTCTCCTCGTGACACAGTCAGCTCCTCCCCAACTCTGCTGCCTCCACTTCAACACAGTTCCACCTAGCTGTGGTTATCCCTGGCCAGGTTGTTAGTGCCACAAGACTACATGTTCCCCAGCGACAGGAAATGATTGGGATTCATCTCTGGGTTGCCGGGGCCCAGCATATTCCAGAATATAGCAAGCCATATGAGGTGTTTGTTGAGTGAATGAACATATGAAAACTTATCTCTGGCTTGCTCTTCCTTAATGATTCAGTTTGAACACCTTTCCCTCCAGGAAGCTTGCCTTGGTCCCAAAGCAACTTCTCTTCCTCCTCCCCGGGCTCACACCACCCCAGCGCCTCACTGTCACAGCTACACCTCTTCATCCTTAGTGTCCATCACACAGTGAGCTTCTCAAGGCCAAGGACCAGGTCTGACACAGGCCCATGTCCCCAGCACCCATAGTAGGCTTTGGCATGTAGCAGAAAGGTTTGCCCTGGTTTGTCACTTTCCTTGTATAAAACCCTTCTGCGGCTCCCTCAAGTCTTTGCTCCTGTCTTTTTACCTCCTCTGCACAGTTCCCAGGGTCCCTGACCAACACAGTCTCATAGTCACAGCAAAGAGAAACCCCTTAAGGCCTGCCGTGATCTGGTTCCTGCTGAAAAAAATCTCTGAGCTCATCCCTCTGGACAGGGTATAGATTGCAGCACTTTCAGCTACGGGTAACAGAAATTGTAATGCACACTGGCCTAAACTGCCAGAGACTATGTTAATGGATCACATGCTCAGAAGTCCAAAGATGGTGTTGGTGACATCTGCCTCATTGACCGGGACTCAGTTTATTATCCCCCTTTCTTCACCTCACTTAGAATCGACACTACCCTCAGTGAACTCCTCCTCTCAAGGTCCCTAACAGGTTCTAACACTGTGTGCTTCCTTGCTTTATTTAGCAAGTATTTATTGTGTGCCCATTGTGCAGGCCTTATTGTGGGTACTGGATCTACACTAAGGACCTAACTGACGTCCCCACCCTCATCGTGCTCAGTATTGGTGGTATGGGTGACAGTGTATTAATTTGCTAGGGCTGCTGTAACAAAGGACCAATTAGGTGGCTTGAATAACACAAACTTATTGTCTCACAAGTCTGGAAGCTCAAAACCCAAGACCAGGATGTTGGCAGGGTTGTCTTCTGAGGGCTGTGAAAGAGAATCTGCTCCCTGTCTTCCAGTTCCCATTGTTTTGCTGACCAGCTTTGCATTCCTTGGCGTGTAGATGCATCACCCAGTCCCTGCCTCTACCTTCACACAACTTTTCCCCTGTATCTTCACTTAGTCCCCTCTTCGTGTAAGTCTGTCTCTGAATCCACATTTCCTTTTTTTTGCGGGGGGTGGCAGGGAGTTTTTGAGATGGTCTCACTACACAGTTCAGGCTGGCTTTGAACTCACTGTGTAGCTCAGGCTACCTTTGAACTCACAGTGATCCTTGTGCCTCCGCTTCCCAAGAAACTGGATCCCCTGGGTTGGCTACCTCCCTCCCTTGGCATTAGCCTTTGGATGTCTGTGTTAGTGTCTTATTGCTGCTGTAACAAATCACCGTGAGCTTGGTGGCTTAAAAGCAATGCACATTTTTTTCTTACAGTTCTTGGGTGGTCAGAGCCCAGCCAGGCACAGTGGTGCACACTTGTAATCGTAGCACTTGCAATGCTGTGGCAGGAAGATCACCATGAGTTCAAGGCCAGCTTGAACTACAAAGAGAGACCCTGACATAGGGGACAGAAACTCCCAACCTGCTCCCAACCCAAAACGCCAAGTTCGTGTTCTCTAAAATCAAGAAATGAATGGTAGGAATAACAGAGGTTAAGAGCAAAGAGTTTACTGAAAGGAGGAAGAGCTTCATCTAAGAGAGACAGAAGGGGGCCTAGAAAATGGGTTGCCCACCAACCTGCTTCTCAAGGGTTTTTTATTGAACAAAACCATAATGTGTGAGGCAGGTTCAAGGTGGGACAAAATTAAGGTCAGCTAATAAGGTTACAAGTATAGCCGCTTAGGTAATATTGATCCAGTGGAAAGTCACAAGGTGGCTGTGAGGTGAAACAAAACTATGGTGAACCAACAAGTATAATTGCTTAGGTAATATTGATTAAACAGGCATCAAATTGGGAAGCAAGTCACAAAGCAAGCACACATGGGACAGACAAGAACTTTCCAGAAAGGAGTGGTTTAAGGAGGTTTGGTCTTCCACCCCAGTGTGATGTCTATTTAAAATATCAATCCTACTGTCCATCCCTAGGGAAAGTATGTGGGTGAGTAGTTCCTCTTTTTCTTGAAGTCTGGCCTTCAGTGAATGCACCTCCAGCCAAAGTTGTCTTTTGCATTGACCTTTCAAGGGCTTAGCCCTGTCTGACTGCCTATAAGATTTCTAAACACCTATCTATAATAATCCTGTCTCAAAAAACAAAACCAAAAAAAAAAACCCAAAACCAAACCCAAAGCCCCAGTCTTTTGAGGTTAAAGCCAAGATGTGGGTCAGTCTGGTCCCTTCTGGAGGCAACAGGAAAGAATCTGTTCTTGCCTCTTCAGCTTTGAGAAGCTGCTGCATTCCTTGGCTCCTGGCAGCATCAGTCTTCTCATCACCTTCTCCGCCTATGACTCCTTCACTCCCTAGGGGTAAGGCTCCTTGTAATGACATTACAGGGATCCGCTCAGGTAATCAAGATCACTTCCCTCAGCTCCAAGTCCGTGTTTGTCTTGTAAGGTAATACTCTTGGGTTCCCAGATTAGAATGTAGATAACCGTAGGGGATGGGAACATTGTATTAAAGGGTATTTCAAACTCCTCAGTCCCAAACCAAAGTCAGACTACTTCTCCCGAATCATAGTAAGTGGCAATTCTTCCCTTCCAGTTGCTCAGACTAAAAACTTTAAGGCATCCTGGGCTCCCCTCTGTCCTTCATACCCTACATTTTACCTGTCAGGAAATCTTACTGGTGCCATCCTGAAAATGTCTGGGATCTCATGACTTATCAGCAGCCCCTCAAACCCTGCCACTCTTCTCACCCAGATTACTGCGTTGGACCTTTCCCTTGTCTCCCAGCTTCTGCCCTTCCGCCTTCTCTCTTTCAACACAGCAGCCGGAAGAGCATCCTTGTAGCATGTCTATTTAAACAACAAAAAACATCCGAAACTTTTTCATTGTAAAATAAAGCACAGATGAAGAGGTGTACACAGATCAAACGCATGACTTAATGATGGGAAACCTGGCTGATTGTCAGCCTCAGTCATTTCCATAGTACTCGTGATAAGATGGGATGCGTCAGCCGCAGTTCACTAGTGAGCAGGAATCGGCTCAGGGGCCACCCACAGGGCAAGGTAGTGGCGCTGTGCCTCAACCCAGACTAAAGAGACGTGTTTTCCATTCTCCCAGTGTTCTTCGTGTGCCGTGTCCACGTGGGTGGGATCTGGAAGGAACAACCCAGCAGCCAGTGTTTTACCTAGAGACAGAGCGGTGGGGCAGGCTTCACTTTTCAGTCAGTACTTCTTCAATTTCTTTTCTAAGTATCTGTCAACCAGAATGTTTCAAAATGAACAGAGTCAGCATCACCACAAGCTAGCCAGCAGACACACGCCTCCAGTGACCAGCAGCCTGCAGGACCTGGTGACATGGGCTGGGTGCGTGTGCACCCGGAAGCCGTCCTGATAATGGGGCTTCGGTCTGCTCACTGGCATGGGCCTCCTTGTCTTCTCATTCTGACAAGCAAGCTATAAAAACGCCCTGGGACGGCAGACAAATGTGTGTGCAGCCTGTGAATGCGGTCAGGTGTTCAGTGATGTCAGGGAGTTACTGTTAATACTGAAGTATTTACAAGTAAAATCAGGTCGCTCCTGGGCGCTGGGTCCACCGCAGTTAATCTCATGCGTCTTTCTCCTTGTGTGTATGTTTGAAACTTTCTGTAATAATGTAAATTAAAGTCTTGAACCAACACTTAGAAAAATCAGAAGAAATAAATGGATTTTAAGGCCAAGCAATCTTGGGTTTAAGTCCTACATGTCTGCTATGGTTTGACTTCCTGTCTAACACTCTTTCCTTGCTACAGAATACAGGGCTTTCCTGGCTCTGACTTCTTAGGGTCTCTGTGAGCCCAAGAACAGGACGATTTGTGCCAAAGGCCTGGCAAACTGAGAGCCAGGGCGCTTCTGCCGGGCTGTCAGGCTCCCCGCTGTGCCACCCCAAGTGACGGACAGTGTATTACTGTTTCAGGAACTTGCAACCCACAACATGGCCGTGGATTTCACCTTAGATAACTGGGAGCAGCTGGGGATGAGCCAGGGGGACCTGTTCTGGGACACAGCACTGGACAACTACCAGAACCTCTTCCTGCTGAGTGAGTGTCACCCTGACTGTGGCCCGGGCACTGCCTTACCCGGGGAGCACCTGTGCTCCGTCATCCACAAGATGAAATTCCAGCTCCTGATCACCTCTGAATCACCACTACCCAGGCCTGTGGCTCTTGGTTGACTGCCTCTCCCCCAAGGAGACATTAACGGCATCTAGAGACATTTAGGATGGTCATGCTGGCAATGGGGATGCTACTAGCACCTGGGGGTAGAGCTGAGCAGGCTGCCACACCTCTCACAGTGCACAGGCCAGCGCCCAGCAGCAGGATCAGCCATCCCAGGTGCCAGGAGTGCTGAGGTCGAGAGACCCTGGGCTGCACTGCGGCCCCATTACAACAACCCCCCTCCCCCCGCACCTCCTCTGTAGCTCCGTCACGTTTGGACCACCTAATGTCATCACTGGAGTGAGAGCTTCTTGGGGTGGGGTCTTGTGACCTGGTTAGTTCACTGCTTTGCTCCTGGTACCTTCTGTACGGCCTCAACAAATGGTTCTAAGGGAATAAATGGTTGGGTAGCGGAAGCTACTTTGTCATGAACCAGGTCTTGTTACCTCATGAGGAAGATGGATTGTCCCTCTTGTGGATCATTCCGAAAGTGAGGTTCAAAGAGGGGAAGTTAGCCTCCCAGCTGTGGCCGGTCCCCACGGCACCGCAGGTGTGGCGCTTCGCTAGGAGCAGCCCTGGGGCATGGCCTGTGGTGCCCCTGGCTGTGACCACCTCATGCCCTTGAAGTATGCAGTGGAAAGACAGCGCGGTCAGGGCAGGGAGAGGGCGCAGGTGAACTTAAGGGAAGCCGGACACACGTTCCAGGGTTGTCTGCAGTCACACAAGATGCACTTAATTCCCCCAGAGGTGTGACACGGTATGTGCGTGGCCACAAGGAAGCTCTTCAGTCTCAGGGCCCGGGGTTTTTACTGGGGTCAGTCATGTGACCTCGTCCAATTCCGGACTATTATCAGGGGAGGAGTGTTCAGCGTAAACATTGTTCACACAGTCTAGGCCCAGTAAGTCCCTCTTCTCTGTTCTGGGGATGCAGTGGCCCCTTCTGAAGTCCCGCTGTGTTAGTGGGCCTTTCCTGGAGAGCAGGCGGGCCTGCCTCACCCACCGTTTTGTGCAGCAGCCTCATAGAGCGGGCAGTGACCCGGCCTGAGCGTGCGTCAGTGAAGGTCCAGGGTCTCAGCCCTCTAGCACCCCATCCCCGTCAATGCGTCTGTCACTTAGCTCCCCTGCTCTGGTTCCACAATTCTTTTCTTTTCCAAGAAACAGAAGAGTAATGTATTCCAGAAGATGAAAAAAACGGAAAGTGCTTTGCTATGGTAGCTCTCATTTGATGGTCTTTTGTTACGTTGCAGCAGTTTTTCTCCAGACTGTGGCCAGATGTGCCTCCAGATGGAAGCAGTGGGGGGTGGGTGTTACAGCGCAGTGTCTTTCATTTACCTGACTCTGGCGGGCACACTTGTAGGCATACAAGAGCAGTGTATTAGTCCCTGTTGCTGCTGCTGCTACAAATACTGCAAAGACAGTGGCTTAAACCACCCCTGCTTGTCATGTTACAGTTCTGCAGAAGTTTGAAATGGGGCTGACTGGGCAAGAACCAAGGTGTCAGCAGCAAGGCCGTCTTCCCCCTAGGGCTCCAGGGGAGACTCTTGGCCTGCGTGGTTCCAGCACCTGGAGCCCACCTGTGTTGTCTGAGACACAGCCTATTCGTCTTCAAAGCCAGCAGTGGCTTTTTCTCCACTGGGCCATGTGGAGATTATGGTCTCCACTCCCTTCCTCAGGAGGTTTGTGGAGGGCGGAGCTCACGTCCACTCGGGCTCGGGGACCCTGCCATCTTCCGCAGGGCCTGGCCCACGGAGGCCTGGGCTGTGTGGTCCTGGGTAAAAGGGTGAATCATGAGAGGCTGAGTGTGTGCCTCTCCACTTGGCAAGCTGCGTGTCCTCCAGAGCTGCCACACGTTCTTTGTCCCCCCAGCCCCAGCTACCGCAGCTCTCACCACCTGGATCATGACCGACTAGGTCCCTCTTCAGAGGTGTCCTTGCAGGTGACCCTAGAGTTTCTGGTGTATCATCTGACCCACAGGAGCTGTGTGTAGGGTGAAACATTGGATGGCCTTCTCCATCACGGTTAATGACAATGCCGTGCTCTCTCTGCAGACCCCCCAAGACCCAGCCCAGCATCCCATCCCAGTGGTGAAGAAGCATTGGAGGCCCCGGTGAGAGGAAGCCCAGCAGCTGTAGACCCTGGTGAGTGGAAGGAAGAAGCCCTCGGTGTCCTGTCCATCCTCAGGACCTCTGTCCAAGGCCATGGCCAGCTCCCAGTGTGTCTGCGCAGTGCCTCACGCTCGGCCTGTGCCACCCATTGGCTTCGATCCCTTCCTTCTAGGAGATGGGGACTTGGCCAGATCCCACTCCTCCTGGGCCTTCAGTGCCGGCTGTCTGATGCGGCTCCCACCCTCATTCTTCCCCTTCAGACTTACGAAGGGGAGTGTAACAGGACTGCCTTGTCCTGTTTTACCTCCTTTTGTATAGCCCGTCTTTGCTTCCTGGGCCTGGGCACAGCAGGTGGCCAACTCTGGGAGTGACTCTAGCCAGGCCTGAACGCTGCCCGTGGTACCTACTCTGCCCTCTCTCGGGCCAGAGTTCTTCTGGGTCATCCGCTAGGTAGTGACAGTTCCTGGGGTATTCACCGTGGTGGCAGTGACCCAGTGGAACAAAGCAGAGGCAGCTGCCCTGCCCAGGAGTGAGAGGCTTCTCTGTTGTCATTGGTTGAGCACCCCAAGAAGGAGGGCGCTGCACCAGCGACCGTGCCCACCCAGGAGCCCCTACAGCCTCGTGTTCAGCACCAGTGTTTCATGAGGAGGACAGACCCACCTGTGCATGCATGCTCCCCTAACTTCTGATCCTGATTTCTGTTTCTCCCATATCAGCGGATAGACTATTTCCAAGCATAGGCAGCCATACTTTTACTAGCAACCAAATACGCACACATACACACACAATGCCTTCTCTAATGGTGGTTCTTGTGCTTTGTTGGCACCATTTACTCCCTTCTATAACAGCATGCTTCCCTGGGGAGTAGACCTTGGATGATACATCCTTGTATCCATTTCCCATACCATGCCAGCTTGTGAGAGGGGTCTGCTGGTGTACTGCTTGGATGGGGAACACTGTGACCAAAGGTATGGTGCGCAGAAAACCAGATGCCCAGGAGGCAGAAGCAGCAGGAGGTGTGACAGTGCAGGGCAAGTGGTGTGGTTTGGAAGGCTTTGGTTTGCAAGTTTCACTCCAGACTGAGGCACTAAGCAGTCTCTGACTGCTTGGTGAGTAAGGAGCCCTGAAATTGCAGGAGGAGCTGGGCTTGGAGGCACAAACCTGTCGTCCTGGCCCTCTGTGAGGCTGAGGCAGAAAGATCATGAAGTTCAAGCCCAGTCTACATGAAGAAGTAACTCAGTGAGACCCCATCTCAAAATAAAAACCAGAAGGGCTGGGTTGTGTCTCAGTGTGAAGGCCCTGGTTGAATCCCCAGTATGGACAGGGTGTGGGAGGGAAAGGGAAGGAAGGAAGGAAGAGACTGGGAAGCCGATGATGCTGTTGCAGGATAGAGCAGAAGGGGAGATGAGAGGCTCGGAAGGGAGCGGGTGCAGCTCATGTTTGGTAAAGGAGTCCGGAGAATCGATAACTTGCAGTTAAGAGGGTGGGCTCAGGTCAGAGCAGATCTTCCTCTGCTGAGCACTAGCTGTGGAAAAGGAGCTCAGCAGCTGGCCAGGGGCTGCTCGCTGCTCAGCTGTAGTTCCAAGAACACTCAGTAGAACGCTCAACAGCCTGCACAGCTGGTTTGCCACTTCCTGATCTACCTCCCAGCAGGCAAGTGAGCGTGAGGGTTGTGTCTGAGGTTCTCCCTCCCTGTGGAGTTTCAGTTTCCCTTCTCCCCTCCTAACGCTTTTGAGAATGGGCTCTTTCATGTCAGTTCCCCAGGAGACACCACTCGGGATTTCCTTTTCTTCATCGCCTTGACAGAGAGGCAGGACTCAGGACCACTGCCCCTACTCTCATGTGTCTGTTTTCTTAGCCCACAGCTCTGATCTTTCTCTCGGGAAAACAGGAGACATTTGTATTCTTCTCTTTCAGGCATGCCAGAGATAAAGAACTCACGTCAGAAGCAGAATTTCTTAGAAGAAGGACTCCCCCAGGAAATTATGGCAGTGTTCTGCAAGGACAACCCTTGGAACTCTCGCTTTGAAGTCTGCCTAGATGAGAGCTGGTTGGAGAATTTGTTGGAAAGTCCGGAAAGTGTTCTGAGGTCTGATGTCACCAGTAAGGAAAGGACCACGGAATGCACGAGTCACGAAATGAAGAGCCGCCTGAGTCCTCGCCTCCTTTCCACAGGAGAGGGCTCTGTGATGCATAGTCCTGAAAAGAGCCTCACACCAGCTAAGTCAAAGGAGTATAGGAGTGACTTTGCCTGGGAACCAGACCAGAGGCAGCAGGACGCTATCCAGGGAGAGGAGCAGCTATATAAGTGCAGTGAATGTGCGGAAAGCTTCAGCCGGGGTTACCACCTTATCCAGCACTGGATCACCCATATGAGCGAAGAGCCATCTGCACATCGAGAGGGCCAGAGAGATTTCAGCCTCACTTCTCACTTGACTGTGCGTCCTATGCCCCACAGAGGCTACCGACCCTTTGTATGTAAGGAATGTGGGAAAACCTTTAGTGGGAGTGTGCACCTCAAGCAGCATCAAGAAATTCATACTAGAGAAAAGCCATGTAAGAGTCAAAGTGACAACTGTACATCCAGTCATCGTGGACAGCCTGTTAAGTGTCAGAAAACCCCTCAGTCCTACAGATGTAAGAAGTGTGACATGACTTTCACTTCGGCCCTTCATCTTATTAGGCACCAGAAAACCCACACTCAGAAGCACTATGAATGTACCATATGCCAGGCAGTCTTCCCCTTGAGGAAGCATTTCATCCAACATCAGAAAACTCATGCTGCAAAAACTACTTCTGAGTGTCGGGAGTGTGGGAAGACCTTCAGGCGGAGATTGTCACTCATTAAACACCAGACTGTTCACACTGGGGAGAAGCCTTACAAGTGCGATGAATGTGGGAAAGCCTTCAGCCACACCTCCACCCTGAAGATCCACCAGAAGGTTCATAGCAGAGAGAGACCTTACAAGTGCAGTGAGTGTGAGAAAGCCTTCTCCCGGAAAACTCACCTCCATGAACACCAGCAGGTTCATACAGGCAGCAGACCCCACAAGTGTCAGGAGTGTGTCCGGAGTTTTAGCCGACCCTCACACCTGATTCGACACCAGGCCACTCATGCCACTAACAGGCTCTTTGGCTGTGCCAAATGCAAGCAGACCTTCAGCAATAAAGAGTACCTGGTGCAGCACCTGAAAACCCACACCATCGAAGCCCCCTATGAGTGTCCAGAGTGTGGAGAACGCTTCGTTTGCAGCTCAACCCTGAACTGCCACTTGAGTGTCCATGCCAGAGAAAAGCAAAGATCTGATGCGAACAGGAAAGTTTCAGACCAGAACACAGGACAGAGAGAGCACCCAAAGCTTGACGAGAAATCCTTTAAGTGCGACCAATGTGGAAAAGCATTTAACCGCAACAGATACCTCACTCAGCACAAGAAGATTCACACCAGGGTGAAGCCCTCTGAAGGCAGCCAGTATGGAAAAGCCGTCAGCCAGAGCATGCAGCTCCTGTGCCATCAGAGAATGCATTCCGGGGTGGGGCCCCATGAACATGGTGAGGACGGGAAACTTGTCCCCAGCACCTCCCTCCCAGGACATCAGCCTCCTCAAGACAACCACCCCTTTAAATGTAATGAATGTGGCAAGTCCTTCAGCCAAAGCGCGCACCTCTTAGAACATCGGTTAATTCACACTATAAAGAAGCCCTTCAGATGTAATGAATGTGATCAGGTCTCCACGCAGAGTAACTACCTCATTCAGCACCAGAGAACTCACGTCACAACGAAGCACTTTTTGTGTAGCGAGTGTGGGAAAGTGTTCCGTCAGAGTTCATGCCTCGCTAAGCACCAGAGAACTCACACAGGAAAGAAGCCTTTTGAATGTGGTGACTGTGGGAAAGCCTTTGGCGTGAATGCTGAACTCACCCGACACCAGAGAGTTCACACGGGGGAGAAGCCTTACGTTTGTCAGGAGTGTGGGAAAGCCTTCAGCCAGAGCTCATGCCTTTCTGTTCACCGGAGAGTTCACACGGGGGAGAAGCCCTACCTGTGTAACGAATGTGGGAAAGCCTTTGCCCAGAAAACTAATCTAACTCAGCATGAGAGGATTCACACTGGGGAGAAGCCTTATATCTGTGGTGTGTGTGGCAAAGCCTTTGGCCTCAGTGCCCATCTCAGTCAGCACCAGAGAAGTCACACCCAGGAGAAGCCTTACCAGTGTCAACACTGTCAGAAACCTTTTAAGTGCTTTTCTGCCCTCATCAGACACCAACGACGACGTCACGCTCAGACGTCACGCTCAGAAGTAGCAAGCAGCAATACTGTTCGTAGCCATTAGGTGGTAACAGTTCCAGATATGCAAACATTCCTCTGAGGTCAGATTTGAAGGCAGCACATTGCAAGCTTCCTCTCCCAGATTAATATGTCTCTTTACTGATAAAGATTGATTAGAAAGCTTGTACGAGAGTTTTATTAAAACATAAAAATGGAGAAGCCGTGTAACATTGGGATTCAGAAGTATACCCTGGAGCCAGCCTGTCTTGAGTTAGATGCTTCCTGTCATCTACCGCCCTAAGTGACCTTGGGAAAGTCTTAAAATGTCTCAGGGCCTCAATGTCTTAAAATCTGTAAAATGAGTATCATAGTCATCTACCTCAGTACTGTTGTGAACTTGGAATAAATAAATGTTGGAACCAATGCCTGCACATAATGAGCACTCAGCTAGTGTGAGCTATGAATACATGTTTTACATTAAAAAAACTAGTAATCTGTTTACTACAGTTGATGTTCTCTGTGCACAGCTTTTAAGGTTTTTTTTTTTTTTTCAAGTTTTTTTTTTTAGCATCTTATTCCCCAGCCCTTTCTTATTTTTATTTTTTGTTTTGAGACAGGGTCTTGGTAAAGCTCTAATTTGCCCAGGTTGGGCTTGAACTTGCAATCTTCCTGCATCAGCCTTCCAGAGTGCTGGGATTATGGTCCTGTGCCCCCTTACTCTTTTTACAGGTTGGGCCTTTTCCTTTCCTCCATCTCTCTGCTCTATTCTTAACAGTTCCACAGAAAGCCAAGAGGAACGTATAAAGATCTAATCTCAAAAAGCTAAAACGGGGCTGGGGATTTAGCTCAGCAGCAAAAGCGCCTGCCTGGAA